AAGGTTAGATACGAACTCATGTATACATGTAGCACCTTGTATTATGTACAGGTCAACTTCATACCTTACAGTGTTTATTGTCTGAGCTGGAGTGAAACTTGAACAGTTAAAACATACATGTAGGCTAGCAGACATCTCTTGTTTCTCTCCAAGGCTGCATGTCTGAGTTGAACCCCAGGAAACAGTCCAGGTGCCCCTTCCACTGTTTTGTTCCTATTTGAAGGAAAAAAATGTCAACTACAGTACTTCAGCCTATACTAGTGTCTTTGAGATAAAGGAGACCTACATGCAGTATATAGGCAATAAGTGTAGGGAACACGCCTGTCTGATCCAACAGTGATCATGTGCTCACGTTACACTGCACAGGTGAACACAATTTTTTGGCAATGCCTAAGAGGCATAAGAGTTGAGGTGGGGGCAGAGTTGAGGAAGGGGAAGAGTGGGGGAGGGGGTAAGATTTGAGGAAGGGGAAGAGTGGGGGAGGGTTAAGGAAGAGTAAGAGGGGGAAAGGGTTGAGGAAGGGTTAAAGTGGGGGAGGGGGGACGATTTAAGAGGGGTCAGAGTGGGGGAGGGGGAAGATTTGAGGAAGGGTTAGACTTTAATAGAGGGTGGGACATGTAAAAGAGTTCCACTCACACATCTGCTTGGTTCTGTTCAAACAGTACCCTCATCTCCTCAAGCACTTGTCGGATCCCGTCCTCCTGGAAATGATCAGATATTTATATCAATTTTCATATTTATCTTATATTCATGATATATACATAGTAGGCATAACGCTACGAATCATTAATTCGACACCCTTTTAATTCAGCAAGAGGGTAATGCAATGTAAGCCCGAATCAAGAGTCGCCACGGCTAGTCGCGGGAGGGAGCTTCCGGAAGGACAGTAGTCAAAACGTCCACAATTTCTGTTGGTTAGTAACTAGCAGTGGCGACAGTTACACACGTTTATCTTGATAACAACTTACATTGAATGGCGGCATGGACCCATCTGGCGAACGATGGAGCTGACGAATCAACTCAACAGCCTTCTCACCGTACATTTTCGCCTTGAGAGGCTGATATATGGCAAATATTTCAACGGATCAAATGCAGCACCCGCAGCTGGTTGGGTGTTTTGAAAAGCCCTCCGAAGAACCGGAAAGAACGCACCACTCACAAAAAGGGTTGCAGATAAGAGGCAGATTTAGCTATATTGGAACAAAGAGGTAAAAATAATAGAAGAAACCTCTTTAAAATACTCATAAGACTGTTTATTGTACTATTTAGAAATTTAAAAACCATATTTGGGTAGAT